AAATGCTTGTCTTAAGCTAAAAGCCTGTTTCAGTGGTTGGTTACCTCACTGCAAATTCGCATTTCGACAGTGAAAATGTGTGGCCCAAATGGAGTTTTCCATTCATATAAGGATAAGGAAAAGTGCACAGGAACTTCTCATCTGACTTTTTGGGTTTCTGTGGAGCATTAAACTCGTTAATTTTTTCATTTTTCCAACGATCCTGCACTTCCGATTCGATCTTTAGAAGGTACTCTACCTTGAAAGTGCCCTTTCTTTCGGTATTTGCCTGAAATGTTAAATCAGATAAAATTAGCGTAAAACCCATTCGATTGATCAAACATAGAAAAGACTGACCATCGCGAAAATCAGCTCGAATTTAATTGATAGTTTGTCTACTCGGTAATTCTATGGAAATAAAACACCTTAAACATACGCCACTCGCACGTATGAATAAACAAATTGCTGTCAAAAAGTTTAACCCTACTTTTCAATGGCAACATGGGGATTATTCTTGCGTCAAGTGTATTTTTTATATTATTATCAAGTGTATTTTTTTATTTATTTTTTTTCTATTTCAAGCTACCCTTTAATTAATTTAATTCACTAAACATACTTTCCGTTGAAACACGATTGGCTGATGTAATTACAATTAATTGCATTTTTAAATAATTTTTTATCCGTTCCAAAAACCTTTGTAAGCAAATGGGTTTAAAAACAAAATGCGGTACTGCGGCCACTAGCGTCAGTGTCAATGTCACAAAACTGCTATCAGTTCTAACAGATAACATCTGATATTATTTTGCATCTGCTCTAGTTCTCTAGTTGTTCTAAAATGCCCGAATAAATAATTTCGAATTGAATTAAAACGCACTGGTCTCTTAAATTAATCAGACAAAGTCTAGGAGTTGTTAAATAATGGGATGTTGCTGGAGCCTATTTTGCAAAGATGATAATTCTTTACAGGCAAGTATCAGCAGCAGTGTCTTCCTTTGTTTTCCTTCGTATTTTTCTTTAATTACTCGTTGAAATTGGCTTGATTTTCCTTAGAATCGAGAACCAAACGAAAGGACACATCTGCTGATAGATCCAGTATCAAATAATGTGCACATTGCAAGAGTTAACAGGTCAGTTTTCGGTTTTCGAATGCCTCTACTTTGCCTACCTTATCGGTCATAGTTCAAGTCTTAGTAAAATTAATTAGTTTATCGTCCAAGAGTGTTTACAATTATAAACAATCCTTTTATTAACAACTTTTCTTTGTGGTGGAAGTCAAGGAATCCTTTGTTTTCTTATGGAACAGCAGTGAGTTTCAATCAGCGAAAAGTGGCGGAAAACGCATTACTCTAAAAACACCACTAAGAATCGTTGTTAGCAAATGGACCGACCATCTGGAAGGTATATTGTATAACTTCGAACGCGGGGGCCTGATAAACTGAAAAATCAGCCAAGTTGTAAATAGTGGATTTTAATGGTAAAATACAGCGTATGTGCATACTTTAACAACCAGATCGTCCCGGTTTGTTTTAGTGATGACATCTTAAATAGAAATCCCAATGATTTACCTAAAAAGACTGATGAACAATCTGCATTAACTAGAATACTTCAAGAAACTGCTACGTAAGTACATAAACGACAGCGAGTAGGTAAAAATAAAGCAGTTACAATATCAGTATGACCTCTGTAATCCTAACTAATTATTGCAGAGGCAAATTCGGATTAACTAAATTGGAAATTTCCTAACACTTACGATTTCACTTTATGAGTCCTACAGGCGCTTGAACAACGTATAAATGTAATTTTCTACTTGGGGTTGATGCCTCAGATTGGTCAGCGAGTGTCTTTTGAGGGAGTAATTTCCAAAATAAGCCACTTTTGTTTGCATTATATATTTAGTGCAACAACTACATTTTCCAGTTCTGTGATTGATAGTTGTTGAAGCCCATATCGGTTTTTAAATTTATCAAGCCACCCAACACTCGCTTTAAAATTTGTGTTTTCATAAGTTTGGTTGCAAAAAGTTGGCCCTTTTTCTGAAAATTTGAAAAGAAAAAACAGTGAGGGATCTGTCTCAACCCGTGTATTGTTCGGAAAAACGAATTGTTCTTCGGACTAAAGCGTCAGCTTGAAGACGTTCGGATTAAAGGGGTTTTACTGTATTTAATATAGAGCCCGTTACATTCATGTGAATAATTTCATTTAAGGAATGTTATTGATGTTGCTGCTCTAGACTCACACAATCTCCAACAACATGATTACCTTGATAGAGTAAAATCATACAACGTAAAGGTCCAACAGGTTTTAACTGCTAATAAAGCTAGTTTAGCACCGAAATTAAAAACATGCATTTTACAAGATGTCCCGCAACCAGATAAGGTGCTCGGAGCTGATTTGCTATCGTTAGATGACTCTGAATTGGTAAGCGTATCGCTGAAGCCTGCTTCTTTAATGGTAAACAACAAATATCCACTATATTTTAGATAAGTTCGTCAGTTACTGCAGCTCTTAATGCCATAAATGACATTAAAGTGGACCATAAAGAAGATCTGGTGGTGCCATTTGGACTCGGGTTAAACTGTTAATTTTTATCGATTCTCGAACATTTTTGAGATGATTGAAATATCTGCAAAGGTGATGCAATTTTGTGATATTTTGAAAATGAGAAAATTACTTGCAATCTGGATCGTATAAACTCCACAATAATTTCTAACATTTTCTCTTCAAAGTTAGTCAGAGCTTTTCAGATATTTCCCAAATGCGAAGGAAATCATTGTAAAAATAGTAATGTAAGGATATTATCAGGTACATTTAAGAAGTTTGATAACAAACAACTAATGTTTATCATGAATGTAAAACGGTTGATCATTTTCTATGTTGTAAAAATCAGTGTATTTGTTTTTGAAAAAGTTATATATAATTATGTTTTAAACCCATTATAAATATTTTAGTTATCTCCTTTCTATGATAAAAATATACTTATTTATCTAATTGAGAGTTTTTCAAGTTCAATATTATGAGAATCCGTCTTATCGACCAAACATCCAAAAGCGCAGCTTGTTATCATGAACAATTAATTCAAATATCGGACGAGAAGTCGGTTAAGTGTACACAAGCGCGCCACAGGCTATCGAAAACACAATAGAGAATAAAATACATATTTACGTTGCATATTTATGTATTTGGAAATTTGAAATAAAACAGTTTGCATATATAAAATTAAATATCCTTCCTCAGAGTATATTTGTTACAACGGAATTATGTACACGTTTTGTTGCTAGTATGGTTTGGGAGCAAGATCCTTTAACAAAATTTTGAAATTTAGTGTACACAAAAGAAAAGCTCGTAGAACGC